TAAACCTCACCAACGTTATTTAATGGGTAAACCTAACCAACGTTATTTAATGGGTAAACCTAACCAACGTCATTTAATGGGTAAACCTAACCAACGTTATTTAATGGGTAAACCTAACCATTGTTATTTAATGGGTAAACCTAACCAACGTTATTTAATGGGTAAACCTAACCAATGTTATTTAATGGGTAAACCTAACCAACGTTATTTAATGGGTAAACCTAACCAACGTTATTTAATGGGTAAACCTAACAAACGTTATTTAATGGGTAAACCTAACCAACGTTATTTAATGGGTAAACCTCACCAACATTATTTAATGGGTAAACCTAACCAACGTTATTTAATGGGTACACCTAACCAACGTTATATAATGGGTAAACCTAACCAACGTTATTTAATGGGTAAACCTAACCAACGTTATTTAATGGGTAAACCTAACCAACGTAATTTAATGGGTAAACCTCGCCAACGTTATTTAATGGGTAAACCTAACCAACGTTATTTAATGGGTAAACCTAACCAACGTTATTTAATGGGTAAACCTAACCAACGTTATTTAATGGGTAAACCTAACCAACGTTATTTAATGGGTAAACCTAACCAACGTTATTTAATGGGTAAACCTAACCAACGTTATTTAATGGGTAAACCTAACAAACATTATTTAATGGGTAAACCTAATCAACGTTATTTAATGGGTAAACCTAACCAACGTCATTTAATGGGTAAACCTCACCAACTTTATTTAATGGGTAAACCTCACCAATGTTATTTAATGGGTAAACCTAACCAACGTTATCTAATGGGTAAAGCTAACCAACGTTATTTAATGGGTAAACTTAACCAACGTTATTTAATGGGTAAACCTAACCAACGTAATTTAATGGGTAAACCTAACCAATGTTATTTAATGGGTAAACCTAACCAACATTATTTAATGGGTAAACCTAACCAACGTTATTTAATGGGTATACCTCACCAACGTTATTTAATGGGTAAACCTAACCAACGTTATTTAATGGGTAAACCTAACCAATGTTATTTAATGGGTAAACCTCACCTACGTTATTTAATGGGTAAACCTAACCAACGTTATTTATTGGGTAAACCTAACCAACGTTATTTAATGGGTAAACCTAACCAACGTTATTTAATGGGTAAACCTCACCAACGTTATTTAATGGGTAAACCTAACCAACGTTATTTAATGGGTAAACCTAACCAACGTTATTTAATGGGTAAACCTCACCTACGTTATTTAATGGGTAAACCTAACCAATGTTATTTAATGGGTAAACCTAACCAACGTTATTTAATGGGTAAACCTAACTAACGTACTTAATGGGTAAACCTAACCAACGTTATTTAATGGGTAAACCTAACCATTGTTATTTAATGGGTAAACCTAACCAACGTTATTTAATGGGTAAACCTAACCAACGTTATTTAATGGGTAAACCTAACCAACGTTGTTTAATGGGTAAACCTAACCAACGTTATTTAATGGGTAAACCTAACCAACATAATTTAATGGGTAAACCTAACCAACGTTATTTAATGGGTAAACCTAACCAACGTCATTTAATGGGTAAACCTCACCAACGTTATTTAATGGGTAAACCTAACCAACGTTATTTAATGGGTAAACCTAACCAACGTTATTTAATGGGTAAACCTAACCAACGTTATTTAATGGGTAAACCTAACCACCATTATTTAATGGGTAAACCTAACCACCATTATTTAATGGGTAAACCTAACCAACGTTATTTAATGGGTAAACCTTACCAACGTTATTTAATGGGTAAACCTCACCAACGTTATTTAATGGGTATACCTCACCAACGTTATTAAATGGGTAAACCTCACCAACGTTATTTAATGGGTAAACCTAACCAACGTTATTTAATGGGTAAACCTAACCAACGTTATTTAATGGGTAAACCTAACCAACGTCATTTAATGGGTAAACCTCACCAACGTTATTTAATGGGTAAACCTCACCAATGTTATTTAATGGGTAAACCTCGCCAACGTTATTTAATGGGTAAACCTAACCAACGTTATTTAATGGGTAAACCTAACCAACGTTATTTAATGGGTAAACCTAACCAACGTTATTTAATGGGTAAACCTAACCAACGTTATTTAATGGGTAAACCTAACCAACGTTATTTAATGGGTAAACCTAACCAACGTTATTTAATGGGTAAACCTAACAAACATTATTTAATGGGTAAACCTAATCAACGTTATTTAATGGGTAAACCTAACCAACGTCATTTAATGGGTAAACCTCACCAACGTTATTTAATGGGTAAACCTCACCAATGTTATTTAATGGGTAAACCTAACCAACGTTATCTAATGGGTAAAGCTAACCAACGTTATTTAATGGGTAAACTTAACCAACATTATTTAATGGGTAAACCTAACCAACGTAATTTAATGGGTAAACCTAACCAATGTTATTTAATGGGTAAACCTAACCAACATTATTTAATGGGTAAACCTAACCAACGTTATTTAATGGGTATACCTCACCAACGTTATTTAATGGGTAAACCTAACCAACGTTATTTAATGGGTAAACCTAACCAATGTTATTTAATGGGTAAACCTCACCTACGTTATTTAATGGGTAAACCTAACCAACGTTATTTATTGGGTAAACCTAACCAACGTTATTTAAATGGGTAAACCTAACCAACGTTATTTAATGGGTAAACCTCACCAACGTTATTTAATGGGTAAACCTAACCAACGTTATTTAATGGGTAAACCTAACCAACGTTATTTAATGGGTAAACCTCACCTACGTTATTTAATGGGTAAACCTAACCAATGTTATTTAATGGGTAAACCTAACCAACGTTATTTAATGGGTAAACCTAACTAACGTACTTAATGGGTAAACCTAACCAACGTTATTTAATGGGTAAACCTAACCATTGTTATTTAATGGGTAAACCTAACCAACGTTATTTAATGGGTAAACCTAACCAACGTTATTTAATGGTAAACCTAACCAACGTTATTTAATGGGTAAACCTAACCAACATAATTTAATGGGTAAACCTAACCAACGTTATGTAATGGGTAAACCTAACCAATGTCATTTAATGGGTAAACCTCACCAACGTTATTTAATGGGTAAACCTCACCAATGTTATTTAATGGGTAAACCTAACCAACGTTATTTAATGGGTAAACCTAACCAACGTTATTTAATGGGTAAACCTAACCAACGTTATTTAATGGGTAAACCTAACCACCATTATTTAATGGGTAAACCTAACCACCATTATTTAATGGGTAAACCTAACCAACGTTATTTAATGGGTAAACCTAACCAACGTTATTTAATGGGTAAACCTCACCAACGTTATTTAATGGGTATACCTCACCAACGTTATTAAATGGGTAAACCTCACCAACGTTATTTAATGGGTAAACCTCACCAACGTTATTTAATGGGTAAACCTCACCAACGTTATTTAATGGGTAAACCTAACCAACGTTATTTAATGGGTAAACCTAACCAACGTTATTTAATGGGTAAACCTAACCAACGTTATTTAATGGGTAAACCTAACCAACGTTATTTAATGGGTAAACCTAACCAACGTTATTTAATGGGTAAACCTAACCAACGTTATTTAATGGGTAAACCTAACCAATATTATTTAATGGGTAAACCTAACCAACGTTATTTAATGGGTAAACCTAACCAACGTTATTTAATGGGTAAACCTAACCAACGTTATTAAATGGGTAAACCTAACCAATGTTATTTAATGGGAAACCTCACCAACATTATTTAATGGGTAAACCTAACCAACGTTATTTAATCGGTAAACCTCACCAACGTTATTTAACCTTGCCAGTAGGTATGTGCTATCCGGGATCCTTGGGACATCCCTACTCTATTTAAGTTGACATTTAAAAGGGTTAGGGTTATGGCTAGGGTTAGGATAGGGGTTAGGGTTTAGGGTATGAACGTCCCAAGGATCCCGGATAGCACTGATCCTTGCTAGTACCACCCGTCTTCTTCTCCATGTTTTTGATGATTCCCAGACAGCATAACGACCTGTATGCACACAAGCACACAAACAGAAGTGTTTCATATTGTTGTTTAACATCTCACAAGGATTCTATTGGCTCCTCATCATTAGTATTTAATGTTGTTTCAGTATTCTGCTCTTGTCTTGTAGGGCGGCGCACAATTGGCCCAGCGTCGTCCAGGGTAGGGGAGGGAATGGCCGGCAGGGATGTAGCTCAGTTGATAGAGCATGGCGTTTGCAACGCCAGGGTTGTGGGTTCGTTTCCCACGGGGGGTCAGTATAAAAAAATATATATGTATTCACTAACTGTAAGTCGCTCTGGATAAGAGCGTCTGCTAAATGACTAAAATGTAAATGTAAAATGTATTGCATGAGCTCTCTGATACTAAGCAGGCCTGTTGAAACCTAGCCATGGAAAAGGCTGCATGTACCTGGGTACCTCTCACAAACAATCCTCCCTCACTCCGCCATTCTGGGCCCAGCACACATGGGAGGCCAGGGCCTAGTGGTGTCACAGAGGATTGTGATTTCACGCTTCAAAAACACATGCAATTATTTCCTCCATTGCTTGCACACAGAACCGCTGAGAAATATTCCCAATCAAAATCCAGTCCAGAGAAATCAACAAAGCCTCTCCCTGGACTGTGTTATGGGTAAACAGTGCATCCATGTTACAACCTCACCATCATCAGAGAGAGAGAGAGTTTCAGAAGAACCAGATGTCCAAGGGGGGCTTCAGCTTGGTGACTTGTCTGTTTGTGAGTAACCAAAACAGCCTCCCTTATGGAACTAGAGCAAGATGTGGAGAACGGCATGCCAGCTTCACACACAAAAGGGGGATTCTTACAAGTACGTCAGTCCCTGAGATTTGATTATAGCCAATGAATTGACCACACATGGGCTGCAGAGGGACGTGAAGGAATCAGAGAGCAGCTAGCCAGGCAAGTCTGGAAGAGTGAGGTAAATATGATAACTATTTCATAATAACTATTTCATAATCATTGCCATTTAGCAGACTCTTTTATCCAAACGCGACTTACAGTCAGTCATGCGTGCACATATGTGATATACAAGTGGTCCCAGGAATCAAACCCACTATCCTGGTGTTGCAAGCACCATGCTCTACCAACTGAGCTACAGAGGACCACTATATGTCTGCTGTAGTGTAGATGCCTGAGGACATGGATGTTAGTTAGGGTTACCGGGTGTATACTCCCCAAGTGGAGGGTATTTGGAGAAGCTCTCCACACACATGGGCTTCCCAGGAACCATCTCTACGATGGCAGCGTCCCCAGACTTCAGGGCACTGGGGTTGGCTTCCAGCTTCTTCCTCGAGCAGCGATCTATCTTCACTTTGAGCTTAGTAAACCTACAGGCAATGTGGGCCATGTGGGAGTCAATGACCGGGGAGTAGCCTGCACTGACCTTACCAGGGTGGTTCAGGATAATCATGAGAAAGAGAGAGAGAGAGGGAGAGAGAGAATTTTAAAAAATTATGTAAATGGAGAACCTCTACCAGTCTTTAATACTGTATATGTCTGAGATGTCCAGAGGGATGACCTTTGACCCTGACCTGATCTGTGAACCCAGCGGCCTCTTGGGGCCTGAGGACACCACTCTCCACTCGTCCCACTGGTGCCCTTCCAATACCTGGAAAACAAAAGAGAGACTTGCAGTCATCCCTCTTCTGAAGTAACAAGGCAATCTGTCACATCCGGTTTTAGTTCTCTGTGCTGTTTATGTTGCTGTGAGAATATTACTTGTGTTTAGTGTAACAGCCCTACTTTCTATCCTGTATAGACGTTATGCCGGGGCAGGTGAGGGGTTTGTCTGTGGGCTGTGTCGGAGGCATGACGCTGTCCAGAGCCTTTAGCAGACTCACCCCGTTGGCATGGTGCTCCTGTCTGTCCAGCTTCCAGCCTTTGAACAAGGGCACCTGGACAGAGTGACAACACAGAGGAAAAACATGGACATCTGTGTGTTGAATTTGTTTGGAAGTTGGGGTATGAGGTGATTGAGCAACAGGTAAATGCATTTTTATATGGACATGACGACATCTGGTGGAGAGTTGAGGAACTACACAGTGTCCAGGGGCATAGTGGCGCTAAAGAGTTGAGAAAAGACCTGGAGTTCAAGATTACATATATTTTGAATGCGGGGCTCCAGCATGTTGTCCCCATGCCAACCGGAGATTGAAGGGCACAGCGTTGGGGTGTCTATGGTGATGCCCCGCTCCCTCTCTGGCTTCAGCTTGTCCAGCACCCATGCATACTTGAAGGAGCCCCTTCCCATCTAGTGCAGAGAGATAGGGTAAAGATACTGTATAGAAACAGACTTAGAATGAGAAACGTCTCAGGTATTAGAGAGAAATTATTTATGACAGTCTATACTCTGGCAACAGTCTATCCTCCGGCAACAGTCTATCCCCTGGCAACAGTCTATCTCCTGGCAACAGTGTATCCCGATTACAGTCTATCCCCTGACTACGGTCTATAGCTACACTGAGCACATATAATGTTACAAAATGTCCCATCAAGGTAAAGATTTATTCACTGAGAAGATCTCACTAACAACTGAGTTTATGTTCTTCAATACCGAAGTTTCCATATATCGATCAGGCTCTGAGATATTTTATGTAGCATTAAAACTGATGCTGGTAATAATGTCATCCATATTCAATGGATAACGGAGTGCTTCTAAACCTCATTTGGCTGTGCAGTAGGTCAGATCAGGACATTGCGAGGTTAAAAAGTCATGCAAGATGGTGAACAGGCTTGTGTCAGTGGCATCAGTGTTTATCAGATGACCTTAAGGATTGAACTGTAATCAAAAGCAATTATGTATTATTATTATTATTTTTAAACATCATTGCACAATATCAGACATCGTAATTTGCATGTTCTCGTCTTATTGGAGGAAGACATTTGAGCATTTCAATGAAGCATTCAAACTGTTATGTTCGTCTTTACACGAATGAAAACACTGAGCAGACATGGCTCTCAATACAGCCCTCAAAAGTGAGCCCTGAAAGGCAGGTATACCCATAACGTACAGCCTCTTAGCTGTAGCAGAAGCTGCAGACAGAAAATACTGTTTACTTCAGCCCAGGCTGCGGTCCCTGCTTGAAGGAGGTGGCAGAATTGAGCTATGCTGCCCGCTCAATGTCGGCACCCCCTCCCCCTTCGGGTGCGGTAGGAGAGATGGAGGGAGAGGCACAGCCTGCAGTGAGGCACATGTCTGCAGCAGCTCCAAATGGATTGCAGTGGAGAGGGGAAATGAAGGGAGAGAGAGAGAGGAGAGAAAGGGAGAGAGAGAGGGAAAAGAGGACAGGGGAACAGGCCAGCAAGAGTGGAAGGAGAGGGGGTGATCCCAGATATCATACTGCGAAGAAACTCAAAAACTGTGTTAGTAAAGTAATCCTTATCAGTCATATAAGAGTTTTAATTAGTATCAACTAATTACAATGGTATGGAGTGCTACAATTAGAGTCCCAACAATCAAATGAACGACTGACAAAGCTACTTAGATGTTCTGCTGCAAGGTGATTGGGTATCAAAGATGCATGTGTGGTACAGAGTAAGTTGCCAGAGTACATAGTCAGAGTATGTAGTCAGAGTACATAGCCAGAGAGTACGTAGTCAGAGTACGTAGCCAGAGTATGTAGTCAGAGTACGTAGCCAGAGTATGTAGTCAGAGTACATAGCCAGAGTATGTAGTCAGAGTACATAGCCAGAGAGTACGTAGTCAGAGTACGTAGCCAGAGTATGTAGTCAGAGTACGTAGCCAGAGTATGTAGTCAGAGTACATAGCCAGAGTATGTAGTCAGAGTACATAGCCAGAGAGTGCGTAGTCAGAGTATGTAGTCAGAGAATGTAGTCACTGGCATATCACTCTGAGAGATACTGGCTTAATACAAGTAGGCACCGGGAAGTTCAGCCCCACAGGAGATATTAATGAACAAATGCTGCACATCATCACACTCCATTAGAATACACTGTTTGTTGAATGAATGAACCAGTCACAAACTTGGTCAAAACTAATTTAATGGGACATACGCCTTAAAAATGGAACATGTCCAATAAATAGACAATAAAAAACTAATCTCAATTGGATGGAGACTACAGCTACACCTAGACATATGTTTATTTTATTCTGAAAAGTCTTTGACACGGACAAAAAATACTTTTTAGCAATTACCAAAACATGCAAATTCAATAATCCCCAAGGACAAAATACGTAAGACAATGACTGTAGAAAAAAAAGGGACAATGACTGACATTTTGCACAAATAGCAACTACATTTCACACGGATGAGGCACAATAACAATGTGGTTGGAAGTCACTGGAAGAGCTGGACGAGGTGCACAGCTCTATGCATGTGTTAACAACCACTTGTAACAAATCAGAACATACAAAAAAAGACAATTAATGCAAGCGTCCAGACAGTAATACATGGTGTATTGCTGTGATTTAGTAGTCCTGCATTTCTCCAAAGCCAAACAGGATAACTTCACAATAACTCAAGCCTGAACACAAGCCCTAGAACCATTACACTTATTCTGATGTCAGAGTAGAAGCATTGATATGCGTCTGCTTGAATTGTGTCAATATTACTAAACATGGCTGCTGGCCTCTCATGCACAGCTGAGGACTGGATGGAGGGGATGATCCAAAAACACCAGCTGCTGTGACAGTATATTGATCATCATGACCAATAAGATTCAGTGTTGTCGTCATCACATTGCTATTGCGGTGTTGCATTCAGAGATTGTGTGGCAATGGTGAATGCTACATCTTTCTAGGTGTTCTGAGAACATAACATAAGTCTAAAATTGCAGCTTCTGTGGGGCTGAAAGTTCTTAATCTCGTCTCCTGGACGCCTGTGCCCAAATTCAGCATTGTCCAACTAGCTTCTCTATTGTGCGACTCATCAAACGCCACTCTCTCCCCCTCCCTCCCTCTTTCCTCCAGGCTTCACAGATGAGTCTCTCCAGTCCCAGGTCTCTCCCTCTCCCCCTGGTGTCTCCTGCTCTCTGCAGTGGCTGATATCTTGAGGGTGCCTCCTGGTGGCTTGGCCTACGTCCTTCTCCGCTTGGCCCCACCGGGGCTGGAGGGGTTGCTGCTGGAGTTGAGCACCTTATCAGTGGCGCGGTTCCTCTTCCTCTTGTCTGCTGCCTCCTTCCCCGGGCCGCCCTCAGCGGAACCCTTCTCTCTGTCTCGCTCTCTCTCCTTGTCTTTGCTGCCCGCCCTCTCTGTCATCTTCAACGAGGAGTTGCTGCCTGAGAGAGAGAAGGAGAGAAAGAAAAGATTGAGGGGAGTTGTCAGGTAAAGGGAGGGAGATTTTGGAAATGATTGAATGTTCAAAAGATTCTGCATCACTCAGTCCAAGTTCTGAAAGTTGACCTGTGAAACCAAATGCTTTTGATCTTCTCTCAGGTCAGTGAAGAAGGCAGTAAGTGACTGCTTTGTAGGGTATGGTGGACTAAAATTAAGCCAGTTGTTATTCTAGTGTCCGGCGGTAGGCTAGTGTTTGCTGTGTACATCCAATGGGAATATAATGTACATGGAGCAGGGTCACAGTGGTGGATTCAGAGGACCAGAGCTGAGTTCAACAGACAAATTACATTCAAGTAGTATAAAGAAAGGACTGGCAGAAGCGAGAAAAGGCCGGTTCAAGAGCACCATCACCGCCCATTTGAAGCTTGCCATTATATCTTCTTTATATCTTTTAAGTCATAAAACTCCATCAAAACAATCTAGAATTATTTAAAAAATTGACATGCCATGCTTGAAAATGTTCTCAAACATCAGTTAAAAGGAGAGAAAAAGAGAAACTGAAATAAAGAGAGACGCACATTTTCTGTGCACTATGCGGGCGGTCACTCTAAAGAACCTCTGGTTATGAGCTGGTCTGTACCGAGGTCAAGCTGGAGTTTTGGAACAGAGCGAACGAGTTCTTCTGTCCATACCTCTCAAAATCCTGGCCAGCAGCCATACTGGGACTCAGACCTTTAAAACGAGCCAAACGACCAGAGTTAGGGATGCCGCTTTGTGTGCCAGAGGAGAAGAGATGCACGGACGCAGTCCAAATAAGGCTCACGTCAGAGAGAAAGAGGAGAGGAGCATGAGGTGAAATACAGCTAATGTAATTGAATGAGGGAGAGAACCTTCTTCATGCGTGGCTGGGGAGTCTCGTTCTTCTTTCAACTCGTCTTTCATGTCCTCCTCAGACACCAGTTTACCTGTTCAGGGCAGGGATAATATAATAATATATGCCATTTAGCAGTCTAACAGCGTATTACAGTCATGTGTGCATACGTTTTACGAAAGGGTCGGGAGGAAGAGAGATGTATTAATTTGTATTTATTACATTTATTTGAGCAGGGACAATGTACAACAAAAACAAATGTCTTAGTAAACTTCAGAAAATATGCATTGTACCAGATTTAGCTAGCAGCTAATTTAGCAGATTTGGCTAGCAGCTAATTTCCATCCTCAAGCCAAATATGAACCTTCTAGTAGCTCAGCATTTTTGTAAGTATGGTGGATTCTGAACAGAGTGGGTTTACCTTGTTTTACTTCTTGAATCATCTCCTCTGGAAGATTGAAGCTCTTCTCTGAGTTGGGAAATGGCAATATTTCTGACTCATGCTGCAGTGGACGGAATGTGTAACAGTATTCAGTGATGCATTACAGAGGAAAAATAACGGTTGACTGACTCTATAACAATCTATTTCAAAGGCCAGAGAAAGATTAGGACGCTCTACTCACCAAGGCTGACATGTCATACATAGTTCCCAGGTGGTCCCAGATCACCTTTGATGACACTTGCCTCCCAATATTCTGGCTAAATTTATCCCGGATGCAGATCATGTGAAAGTGGCGATTTACCCCTGCAGAGAAAATAAGTACATTAGCTATGTCTTCAAAAAGTGGGAGGGTAGGATGACAATCTGACAACGGATCATGATGCTGCATTACTAGCTACCGTTATGTGCACAAAAGTAAATATAGGACAGCAAGCTAGCTAGATGGTTTATTTAATTTATGTATTTATTATTTATTACTTTAAATAATAAATATCACGCTATTACCATGGATACTACTTCTTCTATTAATGGTAATTTTTTTATTTGACTATTATTTATTATTGTACTGCAATGTTAATGGAGCTAGCAAACAAGATTTCGCTGCACCTTTTATACCTGCAGTATACTGTGTACGTGACGAATACAATTTGATTTGATACTACAGTAGTTAACAGCATGCAAAAAAAGGAACTCCACTTGAATTTGGCACAAGAAGCTGCTTGTGTTATGATTTCCAGATTTATGTCAGCCCGGAAGTTCGACTGAATTGGTACAGTAACTAGCCATCTCCTTGAATAAATTTGGCCAACCTTGAATAAATTTGGCCAACACTTTAAGACAAAAACATGCAGATGTTTGACTAGCTAGCCAACAAGCTAAAATGGCCAAGGTCTGTGCGAGTTCATTGAGATGTGTCATTGTCTGACTATGAATAGCTGGCTAGCTAACTTGTTGGGGGTTTGTTGTGGGTTGCAGGCTCTCGTCCTCCGCGTCGGGTCTCCACTACAGCCCGGGGATTTTCAGGCCTACAAGATTAACACACTAGCTCGTTAGCTAGCTAACGTTATATTCTTACCTACGGGTTTGTGACCTAGCATTGCATGGAACAGGCACACCTCGACTTCTTGACTCCATACCACCGAGTCTTCGATGGTACTGATGCCCGAGTCTGCCTGTTTTCCGTCGGCTGGAACAAGCTCGGCTTCCCCCATGCTGTTGTCCTTCTTCAAAAACAAAACACTGCAATCAAATATTTTTACAACTGACCCAAGAAACACCACAGCAGCCTCTCTTCTTCTTCGATGACGTTAACGGTGGTTGGCATCCAATATGTTGCATTACCGCCCTCTACTGAACTATAGTATAGATCCATTACACTTTGTGATACAAAAATGGGAAAGGGGAACCGTGAAAAATAAAAAATAAAAATATATACATATATTACCCTACCAACTAACCCTACGCTCATTAAAACCCACCACCTTATTCCACTACTTTAACCCTATCTGACCCTACTCCAGGCCAAAGACCTGAGAGGATGGGACACTACTGCTCAACACACCCTGTAACTCTTCTGAAGTCAAATATCATACCCCCAAGTACTTCTCTGCAGCTGTCACCACAACATCTATTTTACATGACTTACGTTCCATCTCTGCAGTACAGTTGATAACCATTGCTATGAACGCTAAGAAGCCAACCTTACTGGAACATATATCACTCATTGGCCTATCCCTCTGTTCTGACACGGATCACTGGGATCCTCTCAGAATCCCTCAACCTTGATCCACCCTCTTCTACTTTCTTCACTGCCTCAACATACAACATCTTCTGCACTACTCTGACCTTGGTACCACAGCATGTCGTTTCCAATGATAGCAAATGAAGCATAGTGGGCAGAACAAGCAGGCGGGGGGCAGAGCCAAGCTCGAGCTAGAGAGATCCATGCATTTGCATATTTCCATTAGGGAACACATACTCTGTGTGCTTGTGTGCATTACCTTCATTCGCCCTAAACAACGAAGAAAAAATAAAATAAATTGGCAAATGGTAAAGTCTACAAAACGTATTCCACTCTGTTCGTAACAGATTCACACATTGATCTGGTACTGATACTCCCTGTATATAGCTCCATTCATGTGTATTTTACTTTATTCTTCATGTGTTACTATTTTAAAACGCTGGAGGGAGGGGCTCGTAAGCAAGCATTTCACGTGACAAATACAATTTGATTTGAGATTCTTGTTTTGGGAACAGAAAACTGTATTGAGATCAAACGTTTCATTGATGAGAAAATAAGCAGAATGTCGGCCAAGCTTCCTCTCCTCACCATATTTGGTGGTGAGTGGAAATTCCTTCTTCTTCTTCTTCTTCTTCTTCTTCTTCTTCTTCTTCTTATTCTTATTCTTATTCTTATTCTTATTCTTATTCTTCTTATTCTTATTCTTATTCTTATTCTTCTTCTTCTTCTTCTTCTTCTTCTTCTTATTCTTATTCTTATTCTTATTCTTATTCTTATTCTTATTCTTATTCTTATTCTTCTTCTTCTTCTTATTCTTCTTCTTCTTCTTATTATTATTATTATTATTTTTCTTCTTCTTCTTCGGTGGGGTTTATTGGTGGTTGGCATCCAACGTTATTGTGCATTACCGCCACCTACTGTACTGGAGTGTGGGACAGCGATAGGGCGAAACTATATAAATCCTACCTGCCTGCCCTGTTTCGTTTAAAAAATATAACAAAATATTTGAGACTGTATCTAATGACATTGTACTCAACATACTCTTAAAACTAATTTCCTGTATCCCCTTCTCCCTCATACTAGATCTCATCCTCTCTCTTTCCCTCTCATACTGCCCACACTATATCAATACATGCTCCTCTGTCTCCGTTTCCTGGTAATAATCACACGTTCTTGTTGGATGCTTTCCTATCATATTTAAAGTCTTATTCAACCGGCTGTGTCCCACCCTTAATCTTGTAAAAATAGCCTCCTCTCTTCTGTCCCTTCCTGCCGTCCTCCCCTCCCCGACTTCCTCTGTACTTGAAATAAATTCCTGCCCTTAGTATCTCTATTCCACTGCTCCTGCCATTTCTGCACCATCACTGTCCATATCAGGCTTTTTGCCTCTGTCTTGCTCATTGAAACTTCAACATCAACATCCCCACTACTAAGTGCTTGTTTAGCCTGTTCATCTACCGCCGCGTTCCCCTCCACCCACACATGGGCTGGAACCCAAGTAAGTCTTATCTGTATACCCATCTGTCTAATCCTACCATGGGTTTGTAGTACATCATAAAGCAAGTCATATCTGCTACGTGAGCTAAAGGACTGCAGACTCATCAACACTGCACATGAATCAGAGCAAATACCTGCTCTGTATGGCTTGACTTCCTCCACCCACTGCAAGGCCAACAGTATGGCAATCAGCTCCGCCGTATATACAGCCAGATGATCTGTAATACGTTTTCTGACTGCCACCCCACATTCCTGCACTACAAATGCTGACCCAGTACGTCCTGTCCTTGGATCTTTTGAATCAAATGTGTAAATGGCCACAAAATGCTTATACACAGTATCCAGACTTCTATTAAACAAATCAGATGGATCAACACCCTCCCTATCTTTCTGTAGTCTCTCCAACATTTCTAGATCAACTACTGGAGGTGGGAGTAGCCATGGTGGATTTACAGGAATAGCTACCATTGGACTAAACTCCCTTCCATGCAGTCCCATCTCCCTCGCCTGGGATTTACCCACCCACCCAGAACTATGTGTTCTGTCCTCGCTTATGTTCCCAGCATGCCTGTAAAATCTATTTTGCAGGATGAAACACCTCATGTCCCTGTAGGTTGACCCAATAATTAATTGCCAGCTGCTATCTCCTAATACGCAATGACATATCCCCCATCTCCACCTGTAACGCAGCCACTGGGGACGTCCGAAACACCACACTACATATTCTGAGTCCTTGCCCCTGTATGACATCTAGCCTTTCCAGTGAGGTCCGGGCTGCCGAACCATACGCTATACTGCCAGTCTATTACAGATCGGATCAATGCAACATACATGGTCCTCAGTGAGGAACGCCCAGCCCCCCAATCCTTCCCCGTCAGACAGCGCATCACATTTAGCACCTTCTTACACTTTCTCGCCACTCTCTCCATGTGTTCTGCCAAGGTCAGTCTAGTGTCAAAGTATACCCCAAGGAACCTGAAGGCCCCCACCCTCTCCAAGTTTCTCCCATATAACCTCAAGCATACCTTATCTCCCACCTTGCTCCTAGTAAAGAACACTGTCTGAGTTTTCTCTACAGAGAATCTGAATCCCCACATTAATGCCCACCGCTCTACCTCATCAATTGCTTCCTGTACCTTCCTGACTATGTATGGCACATTTCTTCCCCTCTTCCATAAGGCCCCATCATCTGCAAATAACGACCTCCCAATATCCGGCCGTACCTGAGTGTAAACATCATTGATCATGATTGAGAACAACAGAGGACTAATCACGCTCCATTGCGGTGTACCGTTATCCAGGTAGCTGCCTGATTGAGACTTCCCCACCCTCAACCGGATAGACCTTCCAAACAGGAAATCCTTTATCCAGTTTTACATTCTTCCTCCTACCCCCATAATATCATGCTTGATTAACAACCCCTCCTTCCACATCATATCATATGCCTTCTCCACATCAAAAAAGACAGCTACAACAGTTTCCTTGTTCACCTGAGCCTTCCTGACCTCTGCTTCTAACCAGAGCACTGGATCCATAGTTCCCCTCCCCTTCCTGAACCCACTCTGATGTGGCGATACTATCCCCCTGCTCTCCAGGAAGTAAGTTAGCCTCTCCGTGATCATACGTTCCATAATCTTACATACATGTGATGTTAAAGCTATTGGCCGATAGCTTGTTGGCTTCGTTGGATCCTTCCCGGGCTTCCGGATTGGTACCACTACTGCCTCCTTCCAGCTGCCTGGTAGTTTCCCCTCCTCCCACACTCTGTTGTACAACCCCAATACCTTATCCAGTGCCTCATCACTAAGATGGGCCAACATAACATAGCACACCTCATCTTTCCCAGGTGAAGTTAACCCAGCCTTACCTATTGCTCTTTTCACCTCTGCCCTGGTATATGGTGCATTCAATGCATCATTTACATCCTCCCTCCTATCCATCACTCCAGGATTCTCCTCTCTCGTTCTCTCTCCCCCTCCTCTGCCCCTCCTCTGACAGATTTGCAGAGCTATGCACTTGGACAAACGCTTTGGCCATCATCTCTGCTTTCTCCTCATCTGTTACTGCCATATCCTCCCCACTCGTCAACACTGGATAATCCCACTCCCTTCTAATCATCCCCCACACTTCTCCCACAGGTGTCGTCCAATGGTGTCACAGAATCGACGCCAACATGACCTCTTTTCCTGACGGATAGTTCTCCTCACCAGGGCCTGCTTATACTGAATCAGATGTAGGAAGTTATGCGTCCTTTTCAGTACTCTAAATGCCCTGTTCCTACTCCTCACCATTGCCCCAAACTCCTTCGTCCACCATGGGACTGCTTTCCTCCTCCTCCTCCTTCCTGAACTCTTACGTATAGCCTCAGTAGCTGCCCCCACTAAAGTTGTTTAGAGTGGAAATTCCAACGGGATGCTTCAGATTTATACATCCGGTGAAACATCTGGCTCCTTGTTCTATCTGGGCTTCAAACAGCACAGGGAGACAGAGAACAGCTCCCCTATCACTCTGGTAACTGGGATGCTCTTTCATCCAGAAAGGTTTGATAGCCATCCAATACTTTGATAGGCTAGAATAATATAGTTGTTTTTTCGTTTCCTTCTATTGTAGGCGCACAAACTGAGGTAAAGTAAATGTACTGTATCTTTGTGACACCTTGGTGGCCCTCCTAGTGCATAAACAGTGGACAGCGGGCGTGTCTAGGTGCCTAGCCCCATGCCACTGCTTAGGGTTACATTGTTGCACTGTGTCCAGTCTAGAGTCTATAATCATAATCGCCAAATGATTGGCTATGGAAATAAGGTAAAGGTCTGTCTGTACTATCCATGTACCACCACAAGAGGGCGCTATACGACCTGTGTCTGCTTGCTTCAGCAGGCCTATGTTTAGTGCAGTAGATTGAAATACAATGAAATTGACACTATTTAATTGACACTACTCGTCATGTTAAGTAAGCTATGCCAAACATTATTATTGAACAGAAGATTTTCATGGATTTTTTTTTACCATCTTCGTTGCCTCTGTCAGATGCATTGAATAATGTATAATCATGTATAAAGTTTTAATGCCACATTGCTTTTTATATTAGTTTGATAATTGGCTACATTTCTTAGTTATGTTCTTATCCAACAGTGTAATTGTATTATAGTCTACAAAGAGTAAAGAGTTATGCCAAGTGTAAAATTAACATTCATTTCTAAATTTGAAGGGAATTACGTCTCTTGATAAGATAAGCTTATGAGCAAAGTGAACTCTTGTAATAGTGTTGCTCACTTGGCAATTGTAGCCTACTATGATACAAGATGTGACAAGTGCAGCCACGGTTTCTTTTTTACTGTTTCACTTGACCTCGGCGCTTTATAACACATTAGTTTAATGTTCATGGCTCAACAATGGAATTCGAACAGAAGTTAAAATAGCTCAACATAAGTCAGGAGAGTGCAGGACAAAGCTATGATAGATAGTAGCCCTCTACTCAACAGTCGTATTTATTTCCACTCCCAGATGTAAAGCGGCTCTAAATCCCCTGCAGCGCAGTACGCACAGCTGCGGCGCTAATGTTTTAAAGCCAAGTCAGTGTGGGATTGTGTTTGTGTGATAGCATCGTGCCAAGGGCACGCAGGCTCAGACTGAGTGGCGCCGCCGCACACCTGGTGAAGTTCAGGTTAAGTAGCCTCACATTCCTCGGCGTACAGCTGATTGAAACATTAACAAACAGTAATCCGTGAGCCAGGCTGCAGATGGGCCGCAACGCAGCCAAGAAAGGAGACTCGCTGTGTGTGTGTGTGTGTCTGTGTGTGTGTGTGACAGAGAGAGAGAATAGTAGGCACACGTTAAAACAACTTTGAAACTGTGAATATGAGAAAATAAATCATATTGTATCATATTGGAAATGAATCATTCTCATATAGTCGCTAAACCAAAATAATTTAGTATATCATGAATATTCATTAACCCTTTTTTGGGCTGTGCTGAATGCCTTAGTATGAAAATGTATGCACTCACTCTGGATAAGAGCGTCTGCTAAATGACTAAAATGTAAATGTAAATGTACACTCTTAGAAAAAAGTGTCCCAAAAGGGTTCTCTTCTGCTGTCCCCATAGGAGAACACTTTTTGGTTCCAGGTAGAACCCTTTAGGATTCCTCGTAGAACCCTCTGTGGAAAGGATTCTACATGGAACCCAAAGGGGTTCTACCTGGAACCAAAAAGGGTTCTTCAAAGGGTTATCCTATAGGGACAGCCAAATAACCCTTTTAGGTTCTAGATAGCACCTTTTTTTCTAAGAGTGTAGGTTATTTCAATTAGGAGGCGGTTTTATATTTAAATTAGTAGGCCTATGGTGGTACACAATGGTAAAGGTCTATTATGGAACCCTCAATCGATTAGCCTATGTTTTATGCTCATATGAATTGTATAATAGTTTGGATAACATTCAAGTGTAATAGCTGTGTAAGTAACTAACAATATGTAAAAATCCATCTATTCAATATGGCAGTGAATTGTCAATACAAGTATTGTGATCACCTTATAGTGATTGTTCAACAAAATACTATAGTTGTCATGGTTTGGTTACTTAGTAGATCCAAAGACATGCTTCTGTACATTGACTGAACTAATTGTAATTTTCCATGCCTGCTAAAACAATGTTCTGTCTGGAAATCTAACTGCTACAAGTGAATGTCTGACCCTCAGTTCAAACCAAGATATTACGTCTACAGCTATCAACGTGTGTAGTGAATAAACACGCAAGATTCGATCGAAGAATGAAGAAAAGTGAAGGCATTATTCTCACCTAACATATCTGTTTTAATAAAAACACCAGAAGTACATTGTTATAAAAACAATATTGGGGATCACATCTGAATCATTGTAATATACAATACAAATATAGCTCAGTAATCTGAGAAATTGACATTTTAAAATATAAATCTTTTCTACATATAAATTGCTGAAAATACAGAAAAGAGAATCAGGACTGAAAGATTCTTTTACGTAAAGTCCAACATGTATCAACATCTAAGAGAGCTCGTCGTGCTGTTGATGGTCATCCTCAGTCTCTGCTCGACCAGCACACTTGTCTTCACGGCGCGCGCCGCTCTTCTTGGTGACAGCAGGACACCTGTGGCTGCGTGGGGACAACTCCCCTGACCTGACACTTCGTAGTTTCAACTCAGAATGTTTATCTACGCACATCATGGACTTTCACGTCGCTCCACTGCTTGATGCAAGACATAAGATGCGACGAAAGGTATCCATGGCTGGCCAACATCGTTCTTCATGTTGCTTCTGCTAATGGTTATATCTGTTGCTTGATCAGCGGCAGAGAATTCTGTCATCAGAGCATCCGTTCTGTGAAAAGGAAGAGGGATAATTGTACATTTTAACACACAGATAACAACTTTATTTCAGCACAGGATTATGCAGTGGTGTCCTTTTTACACTTGAATATGTCACGCATGGCAATAATATATTTTCCTGAAATTACTCTGATGTAATTATTCTGTACACACCTCAGCGGAGATACTGGCAATTTCTGCATTGTGGGTTGTCAGAGGGGTCCGGGGTGTATCTGCAGCCTGCTGTTTGCCCGGGGCGTCCAGCTCGACCTGTAGGTCCCAGATATAGTCGATGACATGTTGTAGAATCTCCATCTTACTGGCTTTTTTGTTGGCTGGCAGAGTGGGCACCAGCTCCTTCAGCTTGCTGTAGCAACTGTTCATGTCCTGCAGAAATACACTCATCTGCTCGTCCAGCAGTGGAATCTTGCACTTGGAGATGGCCATACTCTGTTCGGAGAGACACCGGACCATGTCCTCGGTGTTCTTGAGGGTGCAGGTAGATCCGACAACTTTCATTTTCTCTTGTTTTGACGTCTTGAAGAGTGGAGAGCAAAAATTGGCTGTATAGGCTATATATTGCTGCTGCAATATACGAAAAAGAGGTAAAGTTTCTGTGAGTTCTGGTATCCTCGTGAGAGTTTTCAGGCTATTACTTCGAAGCGAAACTTTGACAGTTTGTGGCTCTGAAGTGAACTCACGCTGCATTTATCTTTCCAGGAGGATTCGGGGCGTGACTAAAGCGGGTACATTTTGAAGCGTTGGGCCAATGAGAAACTCCCGCCCGCAAGCGAGGGGCGGGCTTCCAGTCCTCTCGCTGCCATTAGAGGCTGGGTGTTTATCAATCTTTACAATCTGCTAAATGATAGTGTTACAAATGGAAACAAATTTTCGCGGTGTCCTGTGTGGGAACCCAGCTGTCCTTTGCCCGCGGACTCTGCAGGTGTAGAGACCGGCCGGAGACGTGGGTGGGGAGCTTAGTCATGAAGAATGCTGCAATTACTAGATGGATAGGCTTTTAATTGTAGACCGATTGGAACTCAATCTTACGGTAAATAACCAGACCTGTCATAACAATATAGGTTTTTATTGGGGATGTCTGTAGCCTACTGAAAAAATGGCAGTCCATTTATAATCTCGATAAAATAGAGTAGCCGACCTAAGCATTCTGCACACCCCAGCTCTGCAGAATCATTTCCTACCGTCTAATCCATTGTTTTATTTGTTTATGTATAATAATTATGTTTTAATCAACTGAAAAGTGCATAATATCAAATGTTATTATAAACTAAATTAATTATTTTGCATATGACCATTCAACAAAGCCTATCCAAATTAATGTTTTAATAGCATCAATTAATTTAGCAGTGATTTAGCAGCTATAGATTTTGCATTATGGTATGCAAAGTATTAAAAATTGCATTTCATTAGTAGACGAATCTCATATGGTTTCACATATCCTATGCAATAAATCTCTTTCAATTTACAAATCGAATAGTTTACACATTAAGCCCTAAGTCTTCCAATGAATAGTTTCACAGATTCGTTCACAGGTTCCCACTGTGCGCTGGGCAGTGTGTGAGTGCGCGCATAGCATTGCTCTGCTTTGAATCTTCCCCAGATAGTCCAAACAAGCCGACGCAGACTGCCAGGCGCCAGTTCCGTGACGTCACCCATTCATGCAGTCCCTGACGGCTGTCAGCCTGGCGCCGCGCGGGCGGTGTCCATGGAGACCTCAAACAACGGCCTCACACTCCCCCATTCACCTGCACAGCGCAAATCCTGAGAACAAACTGTCTGCCCAAGATCGTTATTCATTTATCACGTTAAACCACTCGGTGAAGAGATTACTGCCCCGCACACCTGCAAACTGCCATTGTCACTAGCTTGCTCACTCAAGTTCCAAAGGCTAGTGAAAGCAAAAAAGACAGAGGGCTTTGAATGTATAATGATAGTTCCTGAATTCCTTCAGTTAGGTACTCCCCTTCTTTTTTCATAAGAAAATTCCTCAAGTAAAACATTGTAACCTTGCATACATTGTATCTTTTACACTGATATAAAATAAGTTACAATGTTGCAATTTCAGTGCCTGTTTGGCTGGCTGTAGTCCACCAGAATTAGATGTCTGCATGATTTTCATTAGTTTTTCTTTTTGCTTAATAAATAGATTCAAATTAATTGTACAACTTGTATTAAAAAAAAAATATATATATATAATTGTGCTGAGTTTGCAACAGACTTGCAATTCATTTGGAGACAGAGAACCAAATAAGAGAAGCCATGAAAACACAAAGTGAAAACGGAGAAGAATGTAATTGTTAGCATCTGGTATTCCCCCCAAAAAATATATGCAGTTTGAATGAGTAATTCAGTAGGCCTATGTGAAATACCCAAACAATGCACTCGAAATATGGCACGTGGAACTTTCATTTTTGATCATAGCATGTATCCTAATAAAGTGCATGGAATTGATTATGCAAGTGTAATTAAATCAGCCTTTCTTTCCTGGACAATTAACCCTCTTTAAAAAATCCCTGCATTTGCTTATACTCGCTAAGCAAAACTCATCTTCTTCTCTAGCATCCAGATAGAGAGTTGTGCCTGTGTGAGGAGAGTGACATCCTCTTTCGCAGGTCATGTTGGGGATGGGGAGTGGACTGAAACAATGGGAGCGCAGAGCAAGTATTGTGGGAGAAAATCTTGTCTGGAGCCAGTGAGTCTGGAGCGCCCCTCTGCTCTCTCATCCAGCTTTTGTTCAGCTGCAGAACCTATCAGCACTTCCTAGTTCCTACTGACACCAACAATAACCCCACACAGCTGGGCCCTTTTCAGCCTGTTTACTGCAACATCAAGGCGAGGGGGGGGGGGAGGGGGAGGGGGAGGGGGAGGGGGAGGGGGAGGGGGAGGGGGAGGGGGACGGAGGAAAGTGAAACATATTAGGTCCTGATTTTAACTGACAGAGAGGAGGTTCTTTCTGTTGTGGTTTGTTACAACTAGCTACTAACTGAGGTGTAAAAAAACGTTTTCTGCCGCTGTCTCTCTCCTTAGTTGTTAGATCCTCCCTGAGTTGTTGTGGCAGTGACACACACACTGGTTTGGAGGCAGTTGGCTGTTGGTTGAATGACATGGACTGCCAGTGATATAGACATTTGGGGACTTTTGTTCTCTCAACCTCTGCAACTCATGTTTTTTTTTATTTTTTTAAAGAAATTAATTTGGTTTAAAAAAAAGTAATAATTGTATCTTATCCCTGCACGGCTGCAGACTGTGGACAGGAAACAGAGAGTGAGAAGCTGGACGACGGGTTGACGATAAGGAGGAAGGAAGGACATTCCAGGAATGTTTTGCCCGCAGCCTTCTTCTCCCACCACAGCAGTTTTTGTTGGCCCTATCTCTACATAGCATTATATTACTTTCACTGGAATGAAAGCTTTTTCCACAGAATGCTGAAATTAGGGTTTTTCTGCTGTAGTCTACTGTAGACTAGTGATGCTTTGCTGGTGGAGGAATCCAGGAAGAGGTCTATGCTGTTACATAGACTAATTCTGCTCCTTATGAAGCGCTGAGTGACATGTAATGAGTTCTGTGCTGGTGGCCCAGGTATGGTCCAGGCATGGATGTCCGCTGTCACTGTGCATCTGAGGATGAGAGGGTGCTTGAAGTCATACAGTAAATAACAAATCGAATCAAATAAAATTGTATTTGTCACATGCGCCGAATACAACAGGTGTAGACTTTACTGTGAAATGCTTACTTACAAACCCTTTTCCCAACAATGCAGAGTTAAAAAGTAAGAACAATTTGCTAAAAATAAAAAAGGGAAATAGTAACACAATAAAAATAACAATAACAAGACTATATACAAGGAGTACCGGTACCGAGTCAATGTGCAGGGGTACGAGGTAGTTGAGGTAATTGAGGTAATATGTACATGTAGGTAGTAATAAAAGTGACTAGGCAATCAGGATAGATCATAAACAGAGTAGCAGCAGCGTCTGTGAAGTGTGTGTGTGTGTGTGTGTGTGGTGTCAATATGTGTGTGTGTGTTTTCTGTGTGTATGTGTGTGTTGAAGTGTCAGTGTAGTATGTGTGAGTGTATGGGTAGAGTCCAGTGAGTGTGTGGGTAGAGTCTAGTGAGTGTGTGGGTAGAGTCCAGTGAGTGTGTGGGTAGAGTCCAGTGAGTGTGTGGGTATAGTCCAGTGAGTGTGTGGGTAGAGTCTAGTGAGTGTATGGGTAGAGTCTAGTGAGTGTATGGTAGAGTCTAGGAGTGTATGGGTAGAGTCCAGTGAGTGTGTGGGTATAGTCCAGTGAGTGTGTGGGTAGAGTCCAGTGAGTGTATGGGTAGAGTCCAGTGAGTGTATGGGTAGAGTCTAGTGAGTGTATGGGTAGAGTCCAGTGAGTGTGTGGGTAGAGTCCAGTGAGTGTGTGGGTAGAGTCCAGTGCGTGTGTGGGTAGAGTCTAGTGAGTGTGTGGGTAGAGTTCAGTGAGTGTATGGGTAGAGTCCAGTGAGTGTATGGGTAGAGTCTAGTGAGTGTATGGGTAGAGTCCAGTGAGTGTATGGGTAGAGTCCAGTGAGTGTGTGGGTAGAGTCCAGTGAGTGTGTGGGTAGAGTCTAGTGAGTGTGTAGGTAGAGTTCAGTGAGTGTGTGGGTAGAGTCCAGTGAGTGTGTGGGTAGAGTCCAGTGAGTGTGTGGGTAGAGTCCAGTGAGTGTATGGGTAGAGTCCAGTGAGTGGTGTGGGTAGGGTAGAGTCTAGTGAGTGTGTGGGTAGAGTTCAGTGAGGTGTGTGGGTAGAGTCAGTGAGTGTGTGGGTAGAGTCTAGTGAGTGTGTGGGTAGAGTCAGTGAGTGTGTGGGTAGAGTCCAGTGTGAGTGTGTGGGTAGAGTCCAGTGAGTGTATGGGTAGAGTCAGTGAGTGTGTGGGTAGAGTCTAGTGAGTGTGTGGGTAGAGTCCAGTGAGGTTGGTGGGTAGAGTTCAGTGAGTGTGTGGGTAGAGTCCAGTGAGTGTATGGGTAGAGTCAGTGAGTGTGTGGGTAGAGTCAGTGAGTGTGTGGGTAGAGTCCAAGGTGGTGTAGGGTTGGGTAGAGTCCAGTGAGTGTGTGGGTAGAGTCAGTGAGTGTGTGGGTAGAGTCAGTGAGTGTGTGGGTAGAGTCTAGTGAGTGTGTGGGTAGAGTCCAGTGGTGAGTGTGTGGGTAGAGTCTAGTGAGTGTGTGGGTAGAGTTCAGTGAGTGTATGGGTAGAGTCCAGTGAGTGTGTGGGTAGAGTCTAGTGAGTGTGTGGGTAGAGTCCAGTGAGTGTGTGGGTAGAGTCTAGTGAGTGTGTGGGTAGAGTCCAGTGAGTGTTGGGTAGAGTCAGTGAGTGTGTGGGTAGAGTCTAGTGAGTGTGTGGGGTAGAGTCCAGTGAGTGTGTGGGTAGAGTCTAGTGAGTGTGTGGGTAGAGTCCAGTGAGTGTGTGGGTAGAGTTCAGTGAGTGTGTGGGTAGAGTCCAGTGAGTGTGTGGGTAGAGTCCAGTGAGTGTGTGGGT